GATTAATGATTGTAATCTATATGAGGTTAATGATTTGTGCAGGAAGATAAGAAGTTTACAAGAGTTGTAAACAGAGATGTTAATTAATTGAGATGTTTAATTAGTGATTTGATGAAACTATAATCACTGAAGTTGAGTTAATACATGATGTTTTTAGAATTTTATTGTTTTCCTGAAGCTTTGGATATGATTATGACTGAGGTATGCTTCATGGAGTGATGTACACTAATTGTTTTATTTCTCTGATTATTATTTCAGGGGTTCTTTGTTTTCTAATAATATGTTACGGTTAATAAATGTTGATACCACGTTACTTTGGTCTTAGTTCATTCTTTGACTTGACGTTTCGCCCACGACAGATTCGCTTGGGAGGACACTTATCGCACTCGCAGCATGAGGTAGGCCTATTTTGGACATCCCTCATTAGTAGGCCTAGGCCTGTAGGTCATTAATGTCATCACCGAGGTCACGAGGATTCGTCTTGGGGCAACTTTTTAACCAGCAAGTTTGGTGGGTTGGCTAACTTGCTTTTCGGCCAGATGTTTTTTTCAATTACTGTACCCCCGTTCATATATTCCCGCTAACATTCAACGGGTAATAACATAAGCATGAACGGGGCCTAAGTACTTACTTCTCCCTTATCTTCGCTGGCACTGTATCCCATATCTGGTACATCTATCAACTTGATCATACAGGACGGGATGACCGTTCCAACATGACCACAGGTGAGGTCTCCAGGATAACTGTAAGTGCATGCAGCTGTGCACTCTGTTTGACCATAACCCTCAGATACCTGCAAACATAACATATGACTTTTAATTTGATTGGCAGGTACAATGGCTGTTGCCACTTGTGGGTTTTCTAAATGTTAATATTGGACTCATAAATAGCACACGGGACACAGACTATCGGTACTCGTGTTTATTGGATCACACGCCATGATCGAGAACCCCGGACGAGCGTTGCCAGGACATTACATATATTTCACTACATCTTTCCTCTTTTTTTAAGCTTTTTTGCTTTCAATTAAAGATTATATCATTAGTTATGTTTTCTGATGTATTGTATTCTATGCGAGTATATTAAATCTATACTAACGTTATTATTATGAGTCTTGTTATATTATTCAGCTGTATGGTGTACCTTCATTAACTTTGAACTTTTAAGTAACTCAACATATATAATTTTAAACTTGTATGAATTATAGATAATTAAGTATTAAATCACATAACATGTCATTCTTCTCTATAATTATTAGTGATTATATTCCATATGAAACTTTAACACTTTCATAAACATTTTCCTGCAAGAGTTCAGCATGGTCTACTGTTGTTATAAAGATATTTAGTCATATTGTCCATTGATTTATAGTGTTATATTATGGCATCTAGTCTTTCAGATATTTTGGAGGTTTCACTGTTCTTCCCGTTCTGGTTTTCACGGGCGAGGTTTCCGTAGTAGGGTGGTCCACTTGTTGCTGATGTTGTGGTTCATGCACTTGTTGGTTTGGTGTTTGTGCTTTTGGCCATGGATGGATTACTGGGTCATCCATGTCAGCAATGTCTTCATCACTGAAGTTGCTGTTGTCATGAGATACTTTCTTTAGATGTTTCCTATTTCTCCTCAGCTGTTTCCCATTCTTCAGTTTCACACAATATGATCTGTTGGGCAAGCACCTGATAACTTTGCCTTCCAAGTTCCATTGTTTGTCGTGAAATCGGAATATCCTGACTTTATCTCCAACTTGAAGTGGCTTCAAGTCTCTAGCTGATTTGTTATACTGTAACTCTTGCCTTTCTTTCTTTCTCTTTATGTTTTCAAACACTCCTTTTTCTACCTTTGGTTTCAGGAGCTTTGAAGTGGTTGGTAACCGGTTCCTTGTACGTCTGCTCATCAACTTCTGTACAGGGCTACTGCCATCTTGATCCGGTGTGTTGCGGAGATCCAATATCGCCAAATAAGGATCCTTTCGATCCGCTTTTGCCTTTTTTAGTAGCCTTTTAGCTGTTCTAACTGCATTTTCAGCCTTGCCATTGCTCTGGGCATATCCTGGCGATGAGGATTTATGTTGAAAATTCCATTTCTTTGAGAATTGGCTGAAAAGCTCACTGGTAAATTGTGTTCCATTGTCTGATATAACACATTCAGGAATTCCATGTCTTGCAAACTGACTCTTCACTTTTCCTATGACCGTCTCTGACTGCAAATCCTTCAAGTAGTCAATTTCCCAGTAATTTGAAAAATAGTCTACAGTTATCAAATACTTTCGGTCATCTAGAAAAAATATATCCATTGCAACCTTAGACCATGGTCTCCTGGGAACTTCATG